CCCCCCTCCTGTGTTTTCTCCCCTTAGGCGGCATCTCAGATTATCCCCTCCTACCCCAGCGTGATGTCCACTGCTCTGGAGCTACTCCTGTATCTCTAGCAGCGGTAGTTTCCTCCAGACTGAAGGGTTCAGCCTCTAGGGCGGCCCAGTAATCTTCAGGCCCTGGAGCAGCAGGTGGCCCAGGTCGCTAAGGCAGCACGAGGCCCTCTGAAGGGCCGGGAAGGGGAAGATGCCATTCTCTTTGTCAGAGGAGCTACAGGCCAGGTTAGGTGCTGAGAGGAGCTCCGTCTCCTCAGCTGTGAGCCCGGGGTCTCCTCACCCAGCCGTGCACCGACTGGGCCCGAGGGCCACTCACTCCAAAGGAAGGGTCCCTCCTTCCCATCCCCTTCGAGTCAGTGGAAAGTGTCTGGAGCGGGTCTCCATGATCGTCACGGCTGTCTGAGGAGCAAGAAAAAGTTTCCAGAACTGCCAGCTCTTACTCTGAACTCTGCTCCCTGAAAAAAGTAAGAAGCAAGAGAAGAAACAGGAGCTAGCCACCCTCGTCAGCAGACGGGGAGCCGCGTGGGCCTGTAGCTATTTGCATCTCAGTCTGCGGGGGCTCTGGGGATGCTGATGACAGGCTGGGCTCCCAGCACTTCGCCGCCACCCGTGGGCGCTGGGTTGGATCCCTTCCGCCCTCAGCAGGGAGCGAGGCCGCCGGCAGTGTCCCGGGCCGTGGTCGCACAGTCCTGAGGAGTCCTGGCCCCCGCCCCACTGTGAGAAGCCAGGAGGAGCCGGCTTCGGCTACCCAGTGTGTACCCTCTTCACTGGGGGAGCAAGTGATTCTTCTCTGACCTGATGATTGTTTGATTTTTTTTTTTTTTTTTAGGGAGATCTGTGCAGTGAGAAGTGTATTTCTGTGTGGCCGCCCTGGGCCAGGGTGGTGCCCAGGGTGTAACCCTGTACTGTGAGCCTGCAGGTGACAGCAGGGGCCCACCGCTGGGTTAATGCTAATGAAAGATGTTGGTTTGTTTTTTAAATAAAGCCAAACAGCCCTGCACCTGCTGAGGCTTGGATTCTGATAGAAACCTGCTGCTGACGATTAGTTTTTTCCTCTTAGGTGGTCAGAGGCCTACGTGCCCCAGGCCATCCCCCTGCCACCTGGAATGGCAGATTCCACTCAGACCCAGAGTCAGGAACCAGCCAGGGCCTCCAGCCAGGGAGGCCCCCAACCCCTTTCTCCAGTATGGACTGGTTCTTAGCCGCCCAGCACGTCCCAGCTGCCTCCACCCTCTCGGCCTCTTAGGTGTCCGTTCCTCTGGGGACCAGGTACAGAGTAGGATGCAGACTTCTCCCCCGCCCCTGCCCTATGTCTCCAAAATAAATCACCCACACCTTTCCTCTGGCTGCTAGCTCACTGGAGGAAAGGAGGGGTCAGTCCTCACGGCGGGCTCTCTGACCTGTACTGAAGTGTGGTGAGTGGGCTGCTCTTGGCTGGTGCCCTGTGCTCGCTTGGGGAGTGGAGGTTCTCTGGGCTCCCATCTCCCACAGCTCCTGCCCTTCATTCTGCCCCAAGGCCTCCCTCCCTCCCTGCAGCCGCTTCACAGAGCTGGGCCTCCTGATTGCCCAATCACCATGAAGCCCGGAAGCCCGGGGCCCTGGCAGCAGAAGTTGATGACGAATTTTTTTTTTAACATCTTTATTGGAGTGTAATTGCTTTACAATGGTGTGTTCGTTTCTGCTGTATAACAAAGTGAATCAGTTACACATATACATATGTCCCCATATCCCCTCCCTCTTGCATCTCCCTCCCACCCTCCCTATCCCACCCCTCTAGGTGGTCACAAAGCTCCGAGCTGATGTCCCTGTGCTATGCGGCTGCTTCCCACTAGCTATCTATTTTACATTTGGTAGTGTATATATGTCCATGCCACTCTCTCACTTCGTCCCAGCTTCCCCTTCCCCCTCCCCGTGTCCTCAAGTCCGTTCTCTACATCTGCATCTTTATTCCTGTCCTGCCCCTATTTCCACCAATCACATGAAACAGTAGCAGACACTTGGATCCAAAACCTTCCAGTACTTTATGTATTTGCACTTACATGTTTGTATACACACTCTTTTTCTCTACATCCATCTTTATTCCTGTCCTGCCCCTATTTCCACCAATCACATGAAACAGTAGCAGACACTTGGATCCAAAACCTTCCAGTACTTTATGTATTTGCACTTACATGTTTGTATACACACTCTTTTTATAAATAAGATCATACTTAACATACAAAAATAAATAAATAAATCCACTTAAATAAACTAAAAACATTCACATAAAAAAATATATGTGAATGACGTTGATGACGTTGTGCAACACATGGCTTGGGTTTGGCCAGTCGCTCAGCTCTCCTGGTGCTGTCCCTGCCCCCTTAAACCTTTGGGAGAGTTACTTAACATCTGAGCCACAGCTCCCCATCTAAACAACAGCAGAATAATAATACCTACCTGGTGATGTGGTTGTGAAGATGGGATATTTATACTATATGTAAAACACTCAGTGCTGTGCTTGGCACATAACCTGCAGGAAAGACATTGGCTATTACCATTGCTGCTGCTCTGGGAGCTTGATTTTGGGGCTTAAGTTGCAGATTCCTGGGACAGATCATCTGATGGACCCAATGTGGGTGAGGTGACTCCTGCTGGACCAATCAGCTCAGGCCAACAGCAGGGCCTAGAGCTGAAACTTGGCCACTGAGGCCCTAGAGAAAGAGATTAAAGCACTGTGAGCCAGCAGCCAGCCACCCCAGCTGCTTTAGGGGACGTTTGGCATTCGCTGAGCAAATGTTTATTAATACCCACTGTTAGTACCCGTAGACCTGGACAAGAGGGACCCTGGGCCTGGGTTTTGTGGTTTAGAACAGTGCTTTTCAAACCTCAGTGTGCACATGAATCCCCTGGGGATCTTGTTAGAATGCCAGTTCTGATTCAGTAGGTCTAGAGCGAGGCTGCAGCTCTAACCAGCGCCCAGGTGGTGCCCATTCTGCCAGTCCAGGGGCCACATTTTGAGAGGCGAGCCGTCAGAGGTCTCTCCTGGAGGCCTCCTCTGACCACATCACTCCCCCACAGCTGGAGGAGTCATGGGGAAATGGGAGGCGTTCACCCAAAGCCCAGACCCCATCTTTTAGACATGCTCCTGGAATTCTTATCCCAAGCAGTCCTGAGCCAGAAGGGTCTGGACAGGCCTCTTCTCCAGATCCTGCCTCCAAAGGGTGGTCAAAAGGTAGCCCTTTGCAGGGAGGTGTAGCTGGAGCTTGATGAACAGGCCACAGTGTCCTCTTGTACAGGATGGAGCCTGGGTAAGAAGAGCTATGGGATGGAGCCTGTTCCCTCTGAACCTTATATTCCATTCGACTGAGTCTATATAAATGTTTATTTGTCAAAGTAGGAGGACGGGACACATTTAAGTTTGTTAGCTTGATTTGTAAGTTTTAAATTTGTAGCCACATGGTAGATGGGCCTCCACTGGTGCCCTTGTCATGGGCCCCGCAGATGGTAGCATTGTGCCAGCCTGCTGTGTGCACAGCTGTCCAGCTCTGACAACCCTCTTGTCAGGGCTCTGGAAGACACACGTTCGGTTAAAGCCTCCTGGCCCTGCCCTTGGGCTCATTTGGTGAGGCCACTGGGCTAATATTTGGAAGAAGGGACAGTGAGAAGGTGCGTGACCCCCAACAAGAGGGGCAGGGACTCCTGGCTCCACAGCACATTGAGGATGAGGCATCACCCCACCTTCAGACTCCTCCCCAGGGCTTTCTTTACACATTTGCATTGAGGATGGATTCCTTAGGAC